CCAAAGTGACAATAAAAGATTTCAAAGTTAAGTGCAGAAAATTACTGGTAAAGAAACTTTACAATCTGTTATCAAAAGCAGATCAATATTTCAAAAAAACTTTGTTCTGTTAACAGAGAAAAAAATCCTGCAAATCCCGGTTTTACATCATTTTTCCTTTAATATTAAAATTCATTCATTTAATTAAATTGAGTCTAATCTTAGTCTTGGCCATGCATAAAACTCTTTTCTCAGGGTTCCCTATTAAAAATTAATCTCTAAATAGATGCCATTTCATAGTATAAACTTTCAATAAAGCACAAATCATATTTATTAATAGTCTCAAACATATATAGTCTCTGCAATAAGAAGTCAAAGGTAGGTAAACAGACTTCTTTAGCAATTGACGTTTCAGAATTTATCTTAGTAAATATGATCTAGACATTCAATGAATTTCCATCATTTAACTTAATTTAGCAGAACTCTAAAGTTTCAAGTCACCAAAAATTTGGCGAAACTGTTTTTAGTTTCTCCGTAAGTGAAGCATAAATTATATTTTATTTTTAAGGAGTTCATAGAAAACTTTTATCCCATTTATTTCTATTTCATTGCTTATGAAAATATCATCGTACCAAGTTAATTTTCTTGTTGACAAATTTTGCAATAGAAATAACACAAGCATATTGATTTTTTAGTAAACCTCGGTACACTAAATTATACTTAATGATGACTCTAAAGACATGTCTATATTAATCAAAACAATTTAAACTTTCTCTTCATTAAAGAGTAATCCTAGATCACGCGATCCTTTAACAATTTGGGCTAGTTTAAATTACATTTAGAGATATTTGATTTGTCACTTTTAAGCACTTTTAAGTCAATTAAATAGAGCTCTTTTACAAATTAAATTTGATATTATCTGGTGGTAGAGACATACATTTATCATGTGCACAAAGACATACATACATTCAGATAGACACAGAGATCTCTCATAGTTTTCCTTTTTGTGTTTAAAAAGACCTCTCCTTCACTTTTTTTCCTTTCAGTTTTAGGTTTCACTAATTGAACCAATGCTGGAATCACAGGCAATGTGGGCTGTGTTTACATTTCAAGGACATAATAAGAGTTATAACTTCAAGCTTTCTCCTTTGGAATATTTTTGTTCTCTCAGGTCAGAATTTTGAAAAGATGTTTTATCAAGCCAACTTTCTCTACGGTTTTGAAATGTCAACAGAGCTTCATCCTGGCCATTTAAGAGTTAAGATGAGTACTTGCAAGCATTGACATGGTTCCAGCTGTGCATGAAGCCAGCTGGAGTTCCAGTGAGCAGCTGTCCATTAGGAAGCTATTTGCCCTTTGAGGCATGGTTTCCTGTT